CTCTGCCCCATTTAATGAACCTGGCCCTTTGTTAAAGATCAGGTGTCCATAGGTGGATGGATTTACATCTGGGTTCTCAATTCTCTCCCATCTGTCTGTGTCTCTGGTTTACCAGTACTAGGCTGTTTTGACTACTGTAACTATATAGTATGTTCTGAGATCGAGCAGTGGCTATCTGACAGTTGTTCGTTCCTACTTTGTTCTTCTTTTTCAGTAATGTTTTACTTATCAGGGGGAATCTTCCCCTTCCATATAAAGTTGGTCATTAGTTTTTCCATCTCATTAAAGAATGTTGTTGGAATTTGGATTGGGATTGCATTGTTTCTACAGATATTAGAAGAAATATAGTTTATTCAATGATTCTTAATTCTAACTATTTTGACTTTCATATTCTCAGTTTACAAGCTTGAATATTCAGAGTTTGAGTGACAAGCAACTGGCAATAGCCACTAGTGCTCAATAACTAACATTTAGTAACTAATAATTATTTCTTCCTAAAAGATGACAAACCAAAGGCATCCTGTAGGAAAATTATTTAGTCTGTTGAAAACTTACTTAGAAGTTCCTGTAAAAATATACACCAATCTAAACACCTCTTACTGAAAAACAATTCTCTGTTTGGGAAAGTACTTCTCTTTAACCAAGATTCAGCATGTGTAAACAGATTTGTGAAGGACAAGGGTAAAACTATGATCCATTCTTTCAGGAAATAGTCTTTTAAGCACTACTATGTATTAGGCAATGTTCTAGGCACTACAAAAGCAGCAGTGAGCCAAAGAGACAAAAAAAAAAACCCTCCCCTAATGGAACTTACATTCTAGTGAAAGGAGACAATAAACAAGATGAATAAGTAAAATATTTATTATGTTATATAGTTACACACAAGAAGGAGAAAAATGAAAAAAAAGGGATGAGCAATACTAAGGGGTGTTAAAATTTAATTTAAGGGAAGCAGGGAAGATCTCACTGAAAAGGTGACAGAAAAGCAAAGACCTAAAGTAAAAGATAAAAGCCATGAAGTTATGGGAGAAAAGAGCATTCCATGCTGTAGGAACAGTAAGTGCAAAAGTCCTGTGTAAGGAGCATGCTTAGCATAATTGAGGACTAGTAACGAGACTACTGTGCCTCGAATGTAGTCAGTGATAGGGTGTATACTATGGGATTATGTGGAACATTATAAGTACTTTGGCCTTAACTCTTAGTAAGGCCACCGGATGGTTTAGAAAGAGGAGTGACATTATCTGACTTAAAGTTTTAACAGGATCACTATGGATGCTGTGAAAATAAAGACTGAAGGGATACAAAGTTGCAGGTAGAGATGCCAGTAAGGAGACTACCAGAATATTCCAGACAAAAGATGATGGTGGTTCATACTGACGACAGAAGAGGTGGTAAAAAGATTCTAGACATATTTTGAAAGTGGAACTTAAAGAATTTACTGATGAATTCAAAAATAGATGTCATGAATGAATCAAAGAACTTTTAGCTTCCAGCCATGTTAGGGACCAGATATACCTTTCTGCCTTTATCTACTAAAAACATGGGCAAAATATATGTAACAACCATTTTCAGATACTGAACAACAGCAAGACTGAGTAGTACAATTGCCCCAGCTTATGACTTGGAGTTTCCAGAATATGGCACAGTGAGAGAAAACCTAAACAAAGCCTCGGCAGTGTCTCTGACTTAAGAAGATATTGTTGAGAATTTGGGGAGGTCAAGGCAGCTAGAATTCACAGGGCAGAGTACCAGAAAAGCGAAAGCTGCACACAGAGAGACTTCTGAATATCTCCCCTCAAATCTTCAGCTAAGTACTGATCAGCTCATGCAAGTGAGGAAACAGCCTGAGACCAGAAAAAGAATCACCAGAAAGAAGCAGGCAGAACAATTCTTGGAATTCACATAGGGCTGGAAAACAGCCAGAGTGGTGAAACTTCATAATATCAGGTAGAATACTCAACTCTTAACTCAACTGAAGTACTCTAATTCATCGGTGAAGGCAATTTAATCCTAGACAAAATGCTGCTCTGAGTCCACCTAAAAATGCTTAAAATCAAGCCCTGAGTGGATCAACTGTTTCCAAGTAATTTAACTGGGTCCAGAACAAGATGCAAGAATGTTCATAGGAATATTTTAAAAATCCAACACCCAACAAGGCAAATATTACAATACCAGCATTTAGTCAAAATTTACCAGGCATGCAAGTAAGCAGGAAAATCCATGAGGAGGAAAAAAACACAATCAACAGAAACAGAATCAGAAATACATGTGTTAGATGGTGCCCAGCTACCACCACTGACTGCTATGACCGGGATCACAACAGAGGGTCCCGGACAGAGCTGGAGAAAAATGTAAAACAAAATTCTAACTCACAAAAAAAGACCAGATTTACTGGCCTGACAGAGACTGGAGAAACCCCGAGAGTATGGCCCCCAGATACCCTTTTAGTTCAGTAATGAAGTCACTCCCAAGGTTCACCATTCAGCCAAAGATTAGATAGCCTCATAAAACAAAACGAGACTAATGGGGCACAACAGTCCAGGGACAAGGACTAGAAGGCAGGAGGGGGCAGGAAAGCTGGTAATAGGGAACCCAAGGTTGAGAAGGGACAGTGCTGACATGTCGTGGGGTTGTTAACCATTGTCATACAGCAATATGTGTACTGTTTACTGAGAAACTATTTGTTCTGTAAACCTTCATCTAAAGTACAATTAAAAAAAAAGAAATACACGTTAGAATTAATAGATGAGGAAATTAAAAATAGGCATTATAAGTATAGTCCATATGTTCAAGAAGGTGGAGGAAACCATAAGCATGTCAAGGAAAGACATGAAAAATATAATACTCAAATCAAACTTCTAGAGATGAAAAATGTAATAACTGAGATGAAAAATATACTTGATATGACTACCAGCAGATTAGACACTGCAGAAAAAAATACTTGTGAACTTGAAGACACAGAAATAAAAACTATCCAAAATGAAACACAGAAAGAATGAAACAAAGCTCTTTGGCCTAAGAAACTGTAAACACAGCATTGCCATAAATTGAGATGAAGAAGCCTTTGAGAGAAGTTATCAGTTCAGGTTTTTTCCAAACAGGTTTATTGAGGTATAATATACAAAGCATAAAATGCATATATTTTAAGCATACAGTTTTATGCCACAATGTAGTTCTAAGACATTTCCAGCACTCAAAAAGTTCCTTCATGCCCATTTGCAGTCAATCCCTTCTTCCATCCCCAAAGAACCTTAGAATGTTTCAAGTATTAGAAGTAACAGGTACTGTGAAAGAGGGGTATGAAATAGACTGTTTAGAAATCTGTAAAATAGGTAGCAAGGCCTCCCCAGGTCCACTCTACCCTCCTGTCCTGAACTCCACTTCCTGAAAGACAATGTAGTCAGCAAATGTACTCCATCTTTGTAAGAGATACAGGCACAGTCAAATTGAAAAAGAAAATCTCTAAACACAAGTATTCCAGGCACAGGGAAGTGTGGGGCAAAAATATAATTGAAAAGTCAGCATATGCCCTGAAGTCTTTCTTAAACCAAACAATAGTTTAACTTAATTAGTTAAGAATATCTGCCTTGAGCATTGTGCTCTTTAAGAACTATCTATATGGGATCAAACTGACAACAGCAGCTCCAAAGATTAGATAGGAAACTTCGGGAGGAATGAGTTTATGTTAATGGGAGAGGAACAATTCAGAAATGGAGGGTAAGAATGGTTGCACAACTTCAAGAATGAAATCAATGTCACTGAATTGTACATGTAGAAATTGCTGAACAGCTGTATGCTCTGCTGTATATATTCTCAACCACAAAAAAAAATTTTTTCTAAGTCGGTATATGGTGAGACTCAGCCTGTCTTTCCTAACCTGCCTGCCCCAGCTCCAAAATGCAATCAGCCAAGCTTATTTACCCAAGCAGAAATTTGGAGAATCGCAGAAAAAAGGTCTTACAAATAATGACATTTAGGACTCCCCAGCAAAAACACTAGCTGGCCAAATACTAGCTGGCCATGCCATGATTTTACAAGGAAGCCCAAGGGTCTGTAAACTCTACCCATATATCCGTAACTCCTAAGTGCTTTTCAGTGCTTCACTATTCTTTTGTGTTCTTTATAACAAGCACAATTTTAACTTTTAAAAAGACCCCTTTCTTTCTGAAATCTGATTTAAAAATTCAGTTAACAGAATTTCAGAATACAGAAAATTGTTAACTCTTTCAAAATATCTAAGCATAACACATAAATTTGAATTCTATCATTTAACCAGAACTTAAAAAAAAAAACTCTAAGTATCCTCTCTGTACTTGCAATTAATTTTTGTTATTATTAAGAAGATATTCTTGTTAACTATGATTATAAGGTATCTTGAGGCAAGTCAAGACGAAAAAATCTGCAAAAACAGGGAAAATAGAAGAAGATTCCTTTCTATGCATTGCTTTCCATTTGGGAAGCAGAAGGCTTGAAACTGGTAAGGTTGACATAATAATAATCTAAAATCAACACTCTTGTGAATGTCAAAAGACATAGACTCACCACTTTCAAGTCTAGCACTATATGACATTAAAATAGAAAGAAGCAAAAGAATGCTTTAGTTCTCCTCACTGGTGTCATGGATAGTGTATCTGAAAATTAACTACAAAATGTGGGTTGAGCGGTCAATGATCATCATCTTTACATATTATGAGATTTTTGTCCAAACATAATTTCTCACAAAATAATACATTTTTGCAGCAATGTTCTATTAGCCACTCATAAAAACATTGTAGAAAAGTCATTGATTTAAAAAAAAAAAAAAGCACTGCATATTTGAATCAATGAAAACATTAATTCTACTAAGCAAAAGGCTAAATATTTGGATATCTATAATTCTCTCATAAATATTTACCATGCAATCAGGAAATAACTTGAAATTTCTTTTGAAATTTAAAATATTTTATGAATTAACAAACACATATACAAAGAACACAAAGAATCGTTTGTTTTTTTTTAACCTGCTTTTCCTTGTCATTTATTTCCTTTTTGTATTCTCCTTCAAGGTGTCGGATTTTTTCATAATCTTCCTTTACTTTAAAAAAAAACAAATATACTTTAATGTCTTAATATAATGGTAAAACCTTTCTATTACCAACAAAATTTAAAGTTACTGATATTAAATTTCACTTCATTATATATATTATATTAAACCCCAAAGGTATCTAACCAGCTAAAACTGTTACTGTTTTCTTGCTGCTAAATTTATGTTTAGTAAAATAGTGAATTTAAATAATATCAAAATTATAATAACTTAAGAAAAGCCTACAATTTTCATAAAAGGACACATATAAAAATTATTTGCAATACTCTAATCTGAAATAACAATAGATTTTAAATACAGGTGTTGTTGTTTTAACATGCATACTTTAACTACCAAGAAATGTAAAAATAAGAATAAACCACACTTATAAAAAAATTAAAGACAAACCATAATAGGTTTGATTTCAGAGAAAATGTAGCTTTAAAGTCAATAAAAGTATTTTTAAAATATATCTATCTCTTCCACATTTCACAAGACTTTGAGGAGTTTATTTACAAAACTACATACAATATAAAATATAAAATAGTTGAGGGTACCAGGCTGAAGGGATAAAAACATTAAAATAAACTGATAAACATATAAAACAGTAGAAGAATAATATAAAATTAAATAGGATCCCTACACTTAAAATGCATTTCCAGTCTGGAATTTTCAGCTTGTACACGAAGTTCCTCAAAAGCTATTATCATTTTCTGGAATATAAAATTTAACTTTTAAAACTCATATTTAGACTCTTTAAATAAATTTCTTCAAATTATGAAAATATTAATAAATTTGCATAATGTGATCTTTAGATTTAAAACTGTAAAACTGCAAATAAGGAAAACCATATAACTTTGAATAATTAAACAATTTGCTTAAGAACATATTAGGAATGTCTATTATGGTTTCCCAGATGATCAAAGGCACAGGAAACCGATAGCAGATGGGATAAGAACAGTAAGCAGGAGCCAGACATAGATTAATAATGCTTTATGTGCTTTTAAAATTAATGGTTGTGAGTCACAACAATGGTTATGTGCTGGTCTCTGACACAGAGTTGATAAATTAAGTTAAAGGATGTCACTAGCATGTAAATAAAAAAAACTACTAAATAATACAACATTAACACACTCATAGTATAGAATCTTGGGAATTTTATTATTGATACAATCATGTATCAAAAAATAAATAATAATCCTTTTAGCAAGAAGAGCTGCCCATGTCTTTATAAGCATCACTCTACTTTGCTTAGAAATGCTCTGTTTAGAATATTCAAATTTTCACTACCACTTACCTCAATGTTATTATTTAGATCCATGTAAACTTGCCTAGTTTCTTCCCGTTCATATTCATCTATTATTAATAAAAAAATTTTCAAAATTAAAATTTAAAACAATTATGATGCCAACAAGATAATACTCAAAATATCTCAGGAAAACATTAAAATATTGAAAATTTTATAATAATGAAAGGCACTGGCATATCCAATTTAGTACTGCATTTGTTTAAAGTAGCAACAAAAGCAGTCTGACAGTAAGGCATGGTTGTACTTCATGAATCAAGATTAAAAGCTTGGTGTTGTTTAAGTAGCTCTAACTTCCCTTTAAAGAACTACTATCCATGAATTTATTCAAACTTTGTAGGATGTATTTATAATTTTAGTCTTTACAATGACTAGAGTTTTACTAACTACTCTATAATGTATTTTTCCTTTGTATGTTTCATTTAAGATTCATGAGGTAACACATGAAAGGCAAAGCTTGCTCTTGTCCATTGCTCTTTCTATCTCTGAAGAGGATTTTGACAGGACCCAGAATCTCAAAACATAATAATCAAAATGTCATGGATATATTCCAAAATGTTCAACATTCAAAGAACTAGAAAAACGTAGCATTGTTCTAAGTATCAAGTTATTATCTAGCAAGCAATCAAAGAGAATAAGGCACACAATGAGACAAGCAAAAAGAACGAGAATCTGCAGAACAGGCGACAGAAAAAGATCTCTAGAGATTCAAGATATTGGTGTAATAAGACACAGACTATAACACAACTATGTTTACTATGTTCATGGAGATAAAAAGCTGAGCTTAAAAATTTCAGCAAGGAACTTGATATTCTAAATGTAGCACTACATATTTTAAAAAGAACCAGCTAATAATTTGTGGTGGTTGTTGTTGTTAGGTGCCATCGAGTCAGTTCCAACTCATAGCAACCCTACAGGACAGAGTTAATAATTAAAGAAAAATAAAATACAGTAACAGGAATTAAGAACTCAATTGATGAATTTAAAAGCAGATGAGAGACAGATAAATAATTAGTGAATTGGAAGAGAGGATACAAGAAATTACCCTGAAGGGAGCTCAGTGAGACAAAAAGAAAAATACAGTGAGAGTGTGAAAAATACAGAAGATACAACCACAGTGGCCTCACTGTTGTGTCTTGAAAAAGACTATCAACAGGCTCTCATCTCAGGGACTTTGCACTTACTGTTTCTTCTGCCTGAAATATTTTTCCCAGAACAGCTACGTGGCTCACTCCCTTGCTTTATTCAGGTCTCTACTCAAATGTCACTCAATCAGAAAAAAGTCCCCAACCATCCTATCACAAAATAGTCTCTCCTTACGTAGTTATTGGAAGACAGTGCATAGGCCCGGCTCACTATTATTTACTCCCCATTGCTAACCGCCACATTGTCTCATGATTTTGTTTTTCCCTCCGGTTCTAGTCTCTACAAAAGTTTAAAGATTAACCGATGTTCCTCCCTGGAAAACAAGTGATAATGATCTAAGAATGAAAAACCAAACAAAGCGCCCATCTTGTGACAAGAAAAAGCAGGATGTCGCCAGATAATCCCCAAGGATGTCACTAAATAACCTCTAAGAATACCAGTAGAAGGTTAACTCATCTAAGTATCACCACATCAAGGGGAAACTAACACAAACTTCTAAGATCCATAATCCTGTCCCTATAAAAGCCTTCAGCCGATCTCTAGTCGGGGAGACGGGTTTTTTGGAGGAATCTATTCCCCTCTGTCTCCTATATACTGATATATAATAAACATCTTGCTGCTCACCTCACCCCTGTCTCAGAATTGGCTATTGCAGCAGGCGGCTCCAATCCGCATTATTGCGGTAACATTATCGTCACCTAACGTATATTTTATTTATTTGTTTATGGTCTGTCTCCCCCAACTAGAATATACATATTCCATAAGAGTAGAGGCTTTGTTTACTGCTGTTTTTCCCCAGCATCTAGACCAGTGATACACTGTAGGTACTAAAAATAAAAAAAATTTTTTTTTAAGTTGAATGAGCGGATGAATAAAAGGAGATAAAATATGAAAGATCACAATAACAAAAAGAAAGACCGGCTTACAATTTAAGACAAGAATATGGCTAGAATTAATACTAACAAAGATATCTGGAAAAACTATCTACATGTCACATCAAGACATACCTCAACTTTAGCTAATTTAGGAAATCATCTAAAACAAATGTGTAAAGGATTCTTCAAACCAACCCCACCATGTGATTTCTGGCTTAGAGAGCTATAACCTAAAGTGAAGACAGAACTAGTAGCCTTATCTCTCTAGCCCACAGTACTTTTTGTGAGACAACCAATATTCTATCCTCTACTCTCATCCCTGTACTTTCACCAATTTCTATATCTAAACAGAAAAGCTAATCTCAAAAGCTGAATAAACAGGATGTAGTGGAGAAGCTGGTAGTGATACAACATATTCTGGAAGGCATATACCGTATAGTTCCAAAAGCAAAGCAAAGGACTTATAAGCAGGGACTGAGAATAAAGAACCTGGCAATAATGCATGCTGGAAATAATAATAATAGCTAACATTTATTGAGCACTCTGCACTGTTCTAAGCATTGTATATTTATTAACTAATTTAATTCTAAAAACAACACTAAGAGGCATTTTATTAACTAACAAACAGAGGATCAGAGGAATTATATAACTTATTCAAGTTATTCAAGGTCAAACAGGTAGAAACTGACAGAGTTTGAATCTAAGCACAGCTATCTACCTCTTCTAAGTCCAAGCTCTTAAGCAGTAAACTCTGTGATACATAAATTAAATTTTTTTAGCTAAGAAAAATAAAGAATGACCTGAAAAAGCAGCTAGACATAATTTCCTAATGGATTCTTGTCAGAAACAAAGTAGTTAGTACCAAATCAATGGCAAAGATAGATTATTACTTTTGATAATCAGATTAAGTTTCCTTATCAAAATAAGAAAAATACCTACTTCACAAAAATAAAAATATATAAAATAAAAAAACTTGCTTTCATATACACATCACAACCTTATTAGAATGTTTTAAAAGAACATATGGTCTTTATGAAGAAATTCTATTTAGATTGGAAATAAACACTGCACCACTATTCTTAAATACTATGCCTTCAGCATAACCCTCCCCTAGTATTTTCTATTATGAACATGACTATATCTTATTCTTGACTCAATTTCCTGGTTGTTCCAGACAGAAAGGAAGGTTAAATGAAACAGGGATTAACTATAAATGCCAAGTATATACCTTTTGAAAGATGAGATATCATCTTTCAAAAAGCTCAAAGAACTGGGAATCTAGTTACTACTTATATAAAGAAATGGTCTGAGGCACATATAACTTATTCAAATCAAAATTGGTTCCAAAAAGCAAAAACACAATTTCTTCCCCACCTCTACCCCACCATTAAAATAATAAATAAAAATAAATTGATAAAATCACATGAAACAAGAAATATATTTACATTTCTTTGTCTTTTCTGCCGATCGGGCACAGGTTTCTTTGAGTAAATTACATAAATGCCTTGTAGCATTATTCCTGAAACAAACGAAAAGTTTCCCTAAGTGTAATCTGATCTCAAAGTCAAAATGACATATAAAAGTTATAAAACATATTGTTAACAATTTTTAAACTTTTTAAGGAATTCTTAAAATATTATGATATTTGGTATATATCACATATTGCTCAGAAATGAAAGTATAAACAAAAAGTGGATTAACTATACTATCAGCAAAGATGATTTAGTAATGCCTCCCTTTAAAAGTAAAAATGACAGCTCCTTAAGTTTCTACTCAAGTAGCTAACAATAACCTTTTAGTGAACAGCTGCAGACTTGCCTAAGGAAAAAACAATGAGAAGACAGGATTGGACTTTTCATTTACTAATTATCCTAGAAAGGTTCTAACCTTCAAAAGATAAAATAAGGTAAGAATAATAAGACCTTCGGCTTTCTTGCTGAAGCTCCCAACATATATAGCAGTTAGATTAAATTTTCAACCTAAATGTTTAAACCTATATGTTAGTTTAGTGAAAAGCAAAAGTTAGAGTATGACATACGCCATATCCTTTAACATATTTTCAATAATCTAGTAAATGAAAAAGTTAACAAATCACTGCAATCAAAGGTAGTTTTCTTTTGTTTCCAAAGCCTATGACTATTTCCTAGAACAGAGCCATAGTACCTAAAGTATGATCCATGGACCAGCAACATCAACATCTCTTACTAGAAATGCAAATTGTTGAGCCCCACTCCACTGAATCAGAAACTGGGGGTAGAAGAGGGAAGGGAAGGGGTGGCCATAGTGACCACAATTCACCAAATGCAAGAATGTAGAATGGGTATTCTTTTTCCACAGCATCCAGGTAGAATTCTAAGTTAATATTATACAACACATAGAAAGTGTTCAATAAATTTATTGTAAAATAATAAATTTATTAAGTTATTACTTACTCTTTTATTAAATCTTTATTTTCTTGAATTCCTTCTTCTAATTTCAAACTTACTTTTTCATTTTCAAACTAATTTACAGAACAGAAAAACAGTTCATCACATTTGCCTTCGCTAAATATACATAAGGATAATCATTAAGCAGCATTTCTTTGCTAACAGGTTACAATGGTCTATAATTCTTTTCTTTTCATCACTAAAGGAATCTTTGTGGATTTCCCATAAGAATATGGATCTCACCTTTATCTATATAAAATCAAGTCTGCTGAATCATCTCCCAAAAGCATTCAGCAGTATTTTAATGCAAATCTTCTCTAAACATTCTGAAGCGATGTTTTATCTTTATCCTAACCCAATGTTGCATTTTTCTCAACATTTTTCTTTCACTTTATGCCATAAAATCAAAGCTAAACAGTTTCAAATTTAAAGTTATATCTACAAATGCCATATTCCAATATCCTAAGATATTTATATCAAACTCATAATAGGAATGAATAAACAGAAACTCTTTATAACAAATTAGAATCATTAAAACAATCTTTATGTAATTTATAACTTCCCTAATCATTTGCATTAAGTTTTGTGCAACTTGTCCTCTGTACTCATTCCTAAAGTTGCAGTGCAACTAAGCATCAGTAAAATTGCAAGAAAGCACTGTCCTTAAAATCTACATCACAGAAACAAGATTAACCCAACTTACCCTGAAATAATACTCTTTTCAAATAAGTTACTACATGATATTTACAATTCAAAATTTCATTATACCTGTAATTCCTGAATGGCTTTACGCTGTGCTTCAATTATCTTTCTATTTTCTTGCAACTTATTTTCTTTCTGCTTCAGTTCAGATTCTACATTCACTTTCCACTTCTTGATCTTCTCAGCCTCCTTATATAGTTTTGAATATAGTCTGCTTATCGGCTCTGAATTCTATTAAAATAGGTTTTCCTAAATTAAGTCAATTGTTCAAAACTTTAATAGAACAAAATTACAGCTACCTATTGAAAATATCCATGATTAATAGTATATTAATAGTTAAGACCAAATCTGTCCCTAGTTTCTGTCTAGTAGCATATCGAAAGCTACATTAACTCTTCTAAGTTACTAAGGCAGTATTAGCTACTTCGCTAAAGTTACCTTGCTGAATAAAATAAAATAAAATGGCTCCAAAATGGGCTTAAGTCAAAACTTGAAAATATTGTAGTCAGCGAGAATATGACTAGTGAAAAGCTAAAATATGCCATTCTACCAGAAAATCTATAAATCTTAACAATAGTCTTGAAATATTTTGACTATACAGTTCAATAATTAACTAAGGGACATGAACTTTAAAAAATAATGACAAGAAAAATAATAGTGAACACAAGATCTACCTTTCAATAAGCCTGAGGTTTTATTTAGATTTCTTGCATTTTTGTAAATCTACATTATAAGATAAACACCAGTTTATATAAAAAACAAAAACAAATCACACTGATTTCTGTTTGCTGATAGCTCTTTGTTTATTCATAAAATAGATTCCTTATTTAAAAACTCTATACTACAGCAACAAGCATATAGCATTTTATCAGGCTATGGAATTTCTCTTTGTTTTAAAGATACCCATTTCCCATAAAGGACCCCTGGTGGTACAGTGGTTAAGCACTCGGCCACTAACCAACAGAAAGGTTGGCAGTTGGAACCCACCAGCTGCTCTGTGGGAGAAAGATGTGGCAGTCTGCTTCCATAAAGATTTACAGCCTTGGAAACTCTATGGGGCAGTTCTACTCTTTCCTTTAGGGTCACTATGAGTCGGAACCGATTCAATGGCAATGGGTTTGGTTTCGCGGATCCCATAAGCAAAAATAATTTTTTATAATTAAAGTCAAAATTACTTTACTTCTACAAATCCATTAGTCAGTAAAACAGCCAAAGAATGAATTTCACCTATTAATTAAAGAAATTTTTTGTAAAATACTAGCTTGGTTGTGAAAGAGTCTCTTCTCATCATATATCCATCTTCCCTCTTCTATTCTTGATTTCAATGTTTTAAAATTAAACTGCCCCAAAAGAACTAGATGCTTTTATAACCCCGGAAAATACAGAAGCCTAGAGTTTCAGCAACTTAAAAAGATAAATTTTAAAAAAGATTTTAAAAGATTTATTTTTAAACATTAATAACCAAATATTAATCCTTTTGAAGCTTCAAAAGAAAGATATACACAAATAATAATATATTATACTCCAATTAAAATATGGATGGGAAACCTTCTGACCTCAAATTCAGAATCTTTTAGTCCTTCCTGGTAGTGACAACTGTCAGAATTATCAACCTAAAAAATGAATAAATGTCTCCTGTCAGAAAGTATTTCTGATGAAAGCTTCCAAATAGCAGCAATAAATATAGAAAAAGAGTAATCAACAACTAAAGATTCTACTTATATACATTATACTTAACTGACCTGTTCAAGCATGGGTAAAAAGTTAACTTTTTGTAAAGCAGGATCTGCAAGATAAAAGACAATCTGTATTAAATATGCCAAATTCTTATTTTTTTATTATTATATCTACCTTTAAGAGTCAAGGATATCAATATAACACGTTATATTTTCAATAACTAGCAGCATATATAATAAAATGTTTCTATGTAAGCTGCTATATTGCTTTTCTAGTCTCCTACCTGAATCAATGTTTTCCCCATTTTTGGAGAGATTAGTCATTGCAAACGGCAAACCAAAATCATCTTCAATACATTTGTTGAAATTCTAGAAACACAAAGAAGTTCTTAAACTTATTATCTCATACCATTCTGATCCTAGCAGTGCAATATATGTGTATGTAATATACATCTGCTTAAATAAGTGACTATTGCAAATCCTTTAACATACTTATAATGTTTAAAATATCAAACGTTTTTGCCATGTAAGCAAGGCAAAATTTTTAATCAGGTGTTTTCACTTCTAAGACGAAGCCAAACTATAAGCTATACAATTCTTTCTAGGTATTTGAGAATAATATTAGTAGTTTTAACTAGTAGTTTAGAATAATATTAGAAGTTTCTTCAATTTCATTATGATCTTTCCCTTGACAGAACTGAGAACTGTCTTCACCGAACAGCATTTTAATGTTATACCATTGGCTATAGCAGCCATAAGAAATTTTCTACAGCATATAAAATTAAAATATTCATTGCATCATTCCATTTACAATATAAAGTACCATGTGAGAATTTCTGGAAGTAATTCAGCAGTAGAAAAAAGATCTGTTTCCCCTGAGAAACTTGACATAGTTCTTCCTTTCCTAAGAGTATTCTATTTTGTAAATGAATTTGTTTCCCTTTTTGTCCTGCCAACCAAAAAGCTCAGAGCCAATTTGAAGCTCAGTCACAACATGAATTTTTAGCCATATTTGCAGTTCAGGAGGCATATTTGTAGTTTCTTTTTTCTTGTTTCTAATTTTCTAATTCATATTTTACTATTGCATCATATACGTCTAATAAATTGACTCAAATCATTCAAGGAAAGAGGAGAATTAAAATAAGCAGGTCCCATTATGTATGCAGAGTTCTACAACAGCAGTGTTTATTTAAATGAACAATGCCTTCACACAGTAAGTATGCTCATTACTCATTCAAAGCAACATTATTCAAAATTCTTGGGTAAACCAGATCATATTTGCTGAAAAGAAATAATTAGAAAATATTATCACCAAGAAAATACACTTTGCTTCATTTACTTAAAGTTAAGAATAGTCAAATCAAGATCCATATACAAATTTACCTTGAAGAAATTAGAATCTCCTCCCAAGGTCTGAGGTTTCACCGCAGACACCTGACTACTACTTAATCTTGGCGGTACAAACAATTTAAAGGGTTTTTGCTTTTCCATTTTCTCTCTTCCAGTTGTAAATATCTATTGCCCAAAATGGAAAGAAAAAAAAGTGTTTTAAGTTGCTTCATCAATACACTATTTATTCTTCATAGAAACATGACATTTGTGTAATAAATGGCTATAAAAGGAATTAATGTAATCCTTGCTCCTATACTTGCTGGTAAAAAGCAAAAACACAAACTAACCTGATCATCCACAAAGTACCAAATACAGAAGTGAAGAAATATGGAAATATGCAAGAACAGAGAAATCAAAAATTTTAAATAAAAAATTTTACTAAGGTATACACAACAGTTTGTCATCTTCTAAGTCAAACAAAACCTGCTAAAACATGGTAAGAAAACTATAATGAAAAAATAACAGAATTCAAATATGCAAGACAATAGTGGCATCTTTTTGCAAAATATAATGCAAAACTAATTCAAGGGGCATCACTGAAGCGACTTTACAAGCGTCGCTTATGGCTGAGGTGGTAAAAGGTAAAACACCCCTATTTATTCCCATCAACACCAGTCGCCATGTTGGCGACTTAAATCGCAAGAAACTCGAACCGCCTGAAAAGAAAGCACTTCACCTTCACTAGCCCTAAATTTCATCAAGTCACCAGAAGGAACTGTCTTATTTTCTTAGATGTCTGTGGATGGCCGCGTTAAGGAGGCGCAGCATTAAAATATTGTCCCAGGTCTGGGTTCCCTAGTAAGGAAAAGAAGCCAGTAAAGCTGCCCTTACCTTGGAAGAACCACGGGCTCGGTGCCCACGAACTGCAACCTGCTGTCTATTAGGGTACCAGAAAGACCCAACAAGAGCTTCTGCTTCCGAATCTCAGAAAGGGCGGGAAATCGTTCCACCGCGGAAGCTGCAGACGAGGGGCGGGGCTCCACAGCTGTTTAACGGCTAAATAACGGTCCACCGCGCTAGCTTTTAAGGCTCCCAAGACCCACATCTCGCGAGATTTCCCTTCACCCTAGTAACCATTCATTCCCGGATTCTATCTTTCCTTTGAGTTGACATTCTTTAAGCTTCTATGATTGTCAAAGAATGCAAGAAAAGCTGTGTCCGGTGCTATGATAGGAGGCAACAGTGGAAAACCCATTTCTGCCCCCCGAGAGCTCACAGTCTTAGGAAGGAAACAAATATGCAAACAATTACAGTGCTGTGTAAACATTAAAAATGGTGTTTTCAATAAGAGTCATGAAAACATAGGGAAAGTGGAACTTAAAGCGGCGTGGGGAGTCAGGAGAGAAGCTTCGTAGATGTGGTATACTTTTGTGGGTGCTTCAGCCGAAAACAGAATGGTGAATAGAGAGTTGGTCGGATAGTCAATGGAGAAAGAGTATTTCTGACTGAGGGAAGGTGAGCGCTGCAGTTGTGAGAGAACAGATTAGTACAAGTGAGTGATTCCAACGAGTATAATATGGCTGCAGCTGTAGGTATGTGAGGACGAGGTGGAAAATGAGAAAAGATAAGGCTTGAGACTTCGCTGATACGAAGGCCTGGCAAAGGCTTTTGGATTTTAGCTTTCATGCGTGGGAATGTTAAAGACTTCTGAGGGGAAAGGATAACATAATCAGGTTCAAAAGATAATTTGTAATATCAAGAATGGTTTAGGTTTATGAGACTGGAGTTAGGGAGACAGTGTTAACAGCCTGGATAAGACATGAGGGCCTGAGCTAAGAGTGGCACTGGAGATGAATTGTAAGTTGGGGTGGAGTAGATTACGACTCATGGTGACCCCATGAACAGGAGATGTCAAATATAAAAGATATTTAGGAAGCAAAACTAAAAGGATTTGAAAAACAAAATTTAACAGAATTTGATGGTAGTCTAAGATGGTTGCCTGATTACAGGCTTCAGCAGCTAAGCACGTAAATAAAACCCACTGCCATAGAGTCCATTCCAACTCATAGCGACCCTACAGGACAGAGTAGAATCACCCCATAGGGTTTCCAAGGAGCGGCTGGTGGATTCGAACTGCCGACCTTTTGATTAGCAGTTCAACACTTAACCACTGGGCCACAAGGCTCTTGCAAAGGGGCAAATCGTAAATATTTTAGGCACATAAATATGGCAGTACTAAATACCTAGGCTTAGGTAATAATATAATGAGTTCAGCTTGGGACATATTAACTTTGTCTCCAGGTAGCATAATACAGTTGATGCTTTTTCAAAGGCCTTTAGCAATATTTTTAAATAAGCCATTTTGTTTTGTATAAGTTTAATCTATGAGACATAATAGTTTCTGCTAAAATTATACAATTTTTGAGCTGGAAAGGACCTATGGATGATCCAGTTTAACTGCTTCATTTTACATTTTGACGAAACTGAGGCCCAAAGAGATGTAGTTATGGCAGAGCTGAGTCTAGATACCCTAAAGAAGATAAGATACTCCCTCCAAGAGAAGATACCAAGAATATGCACAAGATACCCCCAGCAGTAATAATTGATATATTTTTAAAAGATTTTACTGTGAGATAATCAATTCCATATTCTAATTTTTGTTAAGTTCCACAATAGTGAAAAATTAAACTTTTTTTTTAATTGAAAACCAAAATGCTACTCCTAATATTATATTAATGGTATTTTATTTACTTATATCCAGGCTTTCAAAACAATAGTTCCACCATAGAATTTCTCATTTTCATGCATTTCACATGACATTTATTTTAACGTATTATCATTCTATCTCTACAAGGATTAAAATATTTGTGGAAAGATTTCATGTTTTAAGAAATTTTTAACTTTTAAGAACTTCATTTATATTACCAAAGATATTAGAAAATGTCAAAATACTGTCCATCAGAATGAGAAATAAATTATGCTACATTTCCCAATATATGATACAATATTTTTAATGGTTTATTATTTTAATTGTTTCAGTATCTTACCATCACAATTTTCTAATTTGGGTTTATAAAGGGTCTCTTTTTTTAAGACATTAAAGAAAAAGATAAACATTCAACAAAGTTTTGTTCCTCTTTAATCATTAATAAAATGCTGTAACAAGAATAGGTTTAAAATGTTAGTTTATTAAAATTAAAGTTGCTGACCATCAATCTGGCCTTAATGAAGTTCACAAACTGCCTTCATTCTGATAACAACTGTTACGACTAGCTAGCCTTTTTCATATCTAGAAATAATCTATATCTTTTCATTCAATTTTCTACTAAATGGAAAAAAGTGAAGTTTCTCCAAGTCAGAACTCTATTTAGCATTATTTCCTTGCGAAGAAACCAGGATGTAACAATGGCCATTGCTTCTTTTCAATGCAATCTTGAAAAGAGCCCTAGATGTCCCTCTAGTGGTGGTTTTTTATATTCCACAAAATTTGATGAGCAATAATCATGTCCATTTTATGGTGAAATATTGGTAACATAATAATCCTGTTCATGTTTTTCAAATCAGTCATCCTATAATGGTAGATAGAGTAGATAATATTTAGGAAGTTTAAGATAAACCACAACATTCTAAAATTTCAGCAACGTGAATAGAAATTCGAATTTTCAGAGAGTAAATTAGTCAATTTAGGGTCCTTTGTTTTCCAAGTGCTAAGTATTTCTGAGTGGTTGTGATTCAGTGTTCTCAGTTCAGTGAGCCTCCCTATGAGATGAGCAAAATGATGTAGATCTTCTGGATGATATATTTTTGCATATTTATACAAAATTTGTAAAACTGGTTCTTGTAAATTTTCCACACGTTGCTTATTTTTAAGGCATGGACGATCTGAAAAACATTATCATATATATCTTAATGTATACTGGAATGTGATAGAAGATAATGAATTTCAAACAGTACAGTTTTTAAAATAATAAAATAGTAATACTAAACCCTTAATACATTCAGATATTATGCTAAGTAACTTGCATCTATGCATTGTCTTATTTAATCTTCACTCTACGAAGTTGTAGTATCACTACCATTTTTTTAAATGAGCTACTTAAAAATTTCCACAAAGTCACACAGAAAAGAAGGGTCATACATAATTGGAAGAATATAAGGGCAACCAAGAGTTACTTGAAACTTAAAAAGATTAAGTAATTTCCACAAGGTCAACAGCAAATAAAAGGCAAAGCTTCGTAAGTATCTAGCTATAAAATATAAGAGTCAACCAAGAACTTCAATAGTTAGGCCACATTCATTCATCCAGTTATTGTACTGGAAATACAGCAGTGAACAAACAGACAAAATATCCTGCCCTTATTGAGCTTATATTCTGAGTCTGGGAGGAGTGGGGGTGGAAAAAAATCATATACACATTTTAAAACTTAAAAATATTATATGATAGTGATAAATGCTATAGAAAAAAATTAAGCAGGGAAGGCAATAAGAATTTGAAGTGGAGGAGCTATTTTTAAAAGATTAATCAAAGAAGGCCTCAATGATAAGATGACATTTGAGTAGAGATCCAAAGATAGTGAAGGCAAAAGCCATGTAGTTATCTGTGGAAAGAGCTTTCTAGACAGAGGACTCATCAAGTACAGTAGAACACGTGGCAGTAGCCTGCTTGAGATTTTCAAGGAACATCTGAGTGAGAAGCAGTGTGATTGGGATGGAGTAAGCAAAAAGGTAGGTAATGATGGGAAAACTTTGGCTTTAATTTGTAAAATCTGAAGCCATTGAGGGGTTATGAGCAAAGGAATGACATGATATGACATATTTTAAAAGAACCAGTATACCTACTGTATAGAAAATAGAGTCTAGGGAGGCAAGGGTGGAAAAGCAAGAAGGCTACTTAGGAAAGTAGTTTAGACAAAGGTAGCAGGGACAAAGACAGTAAGTAGTTGAGTTCTGGGTGTATTCCGAGAGTAGAGCCAACAAGATTTCTTGACAGATTTGAAATAGGTCTAAGAGAAAAAAAAGAAGTGAAGGATGTCTTCAAGGATTTTGGCTTGCACAACTTGAAGGATGGAGATACCATTTGCGAGATAAAGGAAGAATACAGCAGCATGGTGGTGGTGAGGGATAGATCACCTTCAGCCATGTTAAATTTGATATGCCTATTATATATCCAAGGAGACCTGGTGATGCCGTGGTTAAGCACCCATCTTTTAACCAAAAGGTCGGCAGTTTGAATCTAACAGTAGCTCTGTGGGAGAAAGATGTGGCAGTCTGCTTCCATAAAGATTATAGCCTTGGAAACCCTATGGTACAGTTCGACTCTGTCCTATAGGGTTGCTGTGAGCCGGAATCAACTTGACAACAAGGGGGTTTGTTTTTTGTTGTTGTTGTTTTATTAGACATCCAAGTTGAAATGCTGAGCAGGCTATTGAATGGAGTTTAGGGGAGCAGTCCAAATCGGTATATAAATCTGGGAGTGGTCAGCATATAGATGGGATTTAAAGCCATGAGACTGAATAAAATTGCCAAGGAAGTAAGTGTAGAAGAAAAAAGGACCAAGTCCTGGGGCACTCCAACATTTATAACTGTGGGAGCTGAGGTGCAATTAACAACGGAGACTGAAAAAGAGCCGCTACTAAGGAGGAAAATCAAGAGAGAGCTTGTTGTTGCTGTTAGTTACCGTTGAGCGCATTCAGAGTATGATGTCCTGGAAATCAAGCAGGGGGAAAAAAAGCATGTCAGGAAGGAGGGAGTGATCACCTAGGCCAAGTGCAGAAAATGCTTTAAGAGGGAGGGAGTGATCTGCTCTGTCAAACGCAGCTAACAAGTCAATTCCAGTAAGATGAGGACTGAGAATTGACCACTGAAATCAGCAATGGACAGATTACTGCAAATCAGGACAAATTATGGTGGAGTAGAGAGAAGAGGCCAAAATCTGACTGTAGTGGGTTCAGGAGTGAATAGGAGGAAAGAAATGGAGACGGGAGTATAAACAACTCTTTCAAAAAAAAGTTTTTCTGTAAAGTGGAAATGGGAGAGTAGCTGAAGAGGGTCAAGAAAGCAATTTTTAAAATGCAACAAATTACAGCATATTCATAAGCAGTAGACAATAATCTGGCAGAGAAGGAAATTTTGATGAAACAAAATTGGTACATTTGGCAGTAATGAATAATTGAATGATATAACTAGCACAAATGTCATGATTTCATTGCCAAACTTAATCTAAAATTTTACTATTTCTGTTATAACTGGACTTTACCTGAAAAAAACACAGTTGTTGCTGCAAGCAGAGCATATTCAGTATTAGTAATATTAAGTTCATTCATTTTTCTGTAGAAGTAAAACAGTGCAGTAATAAATTCTTCAGTAATACCTGAAAAGATTAATATAAAAATGTGTTTTCATCAGAACATAGAGCAGAATCAAACATATTGCCATTATCATTTTTTTCTCGAGGCAGTATAAGAAAATGAAACATTACATCCAACCAAATTTTTCCACCCAATGTAATATTCTGTATTGTGTGTAGTATTACCAGTTAGAGTTGTAGAAAGACTGTCTTCATTGCAAAATGTTTCCATATGAATAACACTTCTAGCATCAGTCTGATTGTGACAATTCAGTTCATGATCTGAATGATTTGATAATCTCATAGCACCTAGTAAAAGGGAAAAATATAGAGTCTGATTTTTTTTTTTTTTTAATGTTTATACAAATAGTAAGTTCTACTCTTTCCGAATCCAGCATAAATGATAGATGGGAAACTTTCCCAACGAATGTAACTCTGTAACTTTCATTACTGAAACAGGAAGCTAGGCTAAGAAATAGTTCATATTTTATAAAGAATGACCTATATAAGACACTCTGAAAATGTGTTTTTCTATGATGCAATAAGAATGGCTTTCCTTAAAAGAAAAACAGAAGTTAACCAATATACTGGAAAACTATAAACAGCGATTACGAAGTACTTATTCCTACAGGCTGTTCTACCCTGTCCTACAGGGTTACTATGAGTCAGAACCAACTTGATGGCAATGGGTTTGGGTTTTTATTAACACTAAACCAAAAAACAACAACAACAACAACAAACCCGTTGCCATCAAGTCAATTCCAACTCATTATTAACACTAAGGTTAAGTTAATTGGCATTTTTACTTTCAGAGACTGATGAAAGACTTTCTTTCTGGTTGTAAAGTTGGGCCGCATGAAGGAACATCACTTCAGTTTTTGATCCCGTCTGTAATGCAGTCTGATCCTCACTGGTCAAACTTTCAAAGCCTATAAGCAAAGATCACATAATTGTTTGAAGATAGAAAATGAAGGCAATTTTCAGGTATAGGATTTAACATTCTGAATTATTCATTTACTTAGGATCTGAGTCCTAAACGTTCCCTTAGAATAATCATGATATGTAACTTCAAAAAAATCTGAATAAAATTATTGATTCTACATGGTTATATTTTGCAGCACTTCCATCAGAACTAAAAATAATACTTTCCTGTCACAGGAGAGGAGCCCTGGTGGTGCAGTGGCTAAGCATTCCACTGCTAACCAAAAGGTTGGCAGTTCGAGTTCACGGGCTGCTCCTTGGAAACCCTATGGGGCAGTTCTAGTCCTATAGGGTAGCTATGAGCCAGAATCCACTTGATGGGAATGGGTTTGGGTTTTTTTTTTGTTTGTTTATCTCAAGAAGTTCCAGAGTGGTACAAACCCTAGAAGTCAAGCGTTTAGCCACTAACTGAAAGGTTAGCAGTTCAAATCCACCCAGAGGCTCCCTTGGAAGAAAGGCCTGCTGATCTACTTCCGAAAGATCACGGCCGTTGAAAACCCTATGAAGTGAAGTTCTACTCTGAATCACGCAGGCTTACCATAAGTTGGAATTAACTTGACAGCAACTGACTTTTTATGGCAAGAAAAAATTGAGTATATTTGATGCAGCCTCGAAGACTTTATGTTTACAATGAGTTATCTGTATATGTAAATAGATAACTAAGTTTTCGCAAAAAGTGACTTGATTTTTTTAGTATTGTATAGAGAATTTTGTTTCCTGTTTTATCAAAAAAAAAAAACCATTTCCAAAAAAAAAAAACTTGCAACCAACCACTTTGCATGTCTTAACTCTAAGTCTTTGAAGTCATTTGAATAATATTTTTAAATATTTAGATTTTGATCTAGCTAATTGATCAAAGCAGACAAAATACACATATTTTTTGCATTTAGAAGCAGCTTTGATGGAAAACAATAGGTTTTTGTTTTCCTAAAATATCCCCTTCCTTTAAAACAAGGAACTCTTTTAAAAATCAATTTAAGTATTAAATTACTTTTTCTTTTTTGATTACCTGGTAGTCCCTTGGTAAAATCCATTAGCTCTTGTACCCGTAGCACTGCTGTCTCTGACAGCCGTGTAAAGCTCAGTTCAGGATTTGCATATTCCTGAAGCTAACCCACAAAAAGAAGTAAGATTACTAAATTTCATTTTATTTCAAATAACTGTTGAAGTTTTAAACTTTTATGTTTGTGTTCTTATTTTCTAACTTAATTAATCATAAGTTATTTCTTGCTAGTAATGAACACATACAAATTTCTTTGCTTCCTCTAAAGGAATTATATATTTTTGATGAGCAGCCACAATATTATTAATGAGCTGATGTTCCTCTTGTGTTAGTTCTATGCTCTCCTGAATCTATAAGAAAACACAGGGAAAATACTGTAACTTATATATTAAACAAAACATAATCATTAAAGAAACAAGAAATTTTTAAGAATCTTGCCGTTTTTCCAGATCTAGTTGTGGATGACACATGCTTGTTGTCTACTCCTTCCTCTTCCACTTTGATGTTAGAATAAAAACTATTCTTCTGCTTAAAGTTCTTTCGAAATCTCTTTGATTTACATTGGATTTCTGTGAGCAAACCTGTGATATTGCAAAATTTGTATAAAAAATTTTGGAAGGGCAAATAACATAGGACTTGAGAATTATCTTATATTCTACATACATATAATCTTTTACAAAGAACCCTTCTTATTGGGCAACTATGTACACATCAATTAAATATACTATAGTACCCTCTCCTTTTACTTCCACATTACCTAGTCTAAGTAAAAGTACATAATCATCCTAGACATAAATTAAAAATTAATTTTGCATCTCCAACCTGTAAATTTAGACTTTTTTATACTAAAGACATTTCCACATTAATTTTATCTTGGAAGCAACATAGAATATCAATTGGGACAGCAATTTGCTACTATATCTATGGGCTTTTATCCTTGATTTTCATATCATAAGGTCAAGAGAATAGCTTGTGAAAGTTAAAATGAGCTAAGTTCAATTTTTGTTCTTTTGAATAAGACATGGCACTGAATACCTTTTTTATAAAGTGAATACTTTTTATTTTTTTGCTTGTAAATTTATAGATTTTTTTTTGAAACTTCAACTGCCATCTCTACTTGAACAGCAGAAATTATCATGAATCACTAATACAATTAACCCAATATAATATTTACCTTTTGTCATATCTATCAGTTTTTCATAAAAATTTAAAACATACCTATTACATAAAAAATATTATATCAGGAGTTAAGGCTAAAACAAATAGACTTAATCCTTTCCAAAATAATTTTATTGTTTTGCTGGGGAACAAGAATACATAAAAATGATATGAGGCAATTGAAAAAGAAAATCTAGTAAATATTAAAATAATTTGAACTGAGCACATAAATGCAAAAGTGCTATGAAGAAAATGAGTCATTAGAATAAGATGGAATTGTGGGAAGTCTTTTTAAAGTGGTGTATTTTAAAGAGGTTTTAGTTTAGTTCTGAGAAAGAAGAGTAACCTAAAGGGGAAGGAATTGGCAGAGAGGTGAGGATAAACAAGTCATGGAAGGGAGGAAAATAAATTTATAATATTGATTTGAAATGGTAGTAAAGAACTTTGACAATAGAGCTGCTTCTAATTAAAAATAACTTATTTGGTGAAGGTAAATTAGACTCCCTTAAAGAAAGGAACCGTGTCATCTTGGAGTTCTTGATATGTGAGGAAAGGCATGTTTTAGGTTCATTCAGGGCAAAAGAGAATGAGAACACACTGCTTGGTACAGATAGTATAATATTGATGATGACTTAAAGAAAACAGAAGTCATCTTCCTTTTCGGGCTACAAAAGATAAACTGGTTGTCTAAATGGGTGAAGAAATTGTTGAAGAACAAGTGTTCCTAATTAGTTTATTTCTCTCCACCTAAAAAAAAAAAAAAACACATTCTAAGGAATTGAACTATTACAGCCTAGTATTTAGGGGGTGGTAGATGATAAGAGAAATGTCAATAAATCAAAAAATGTTATAATGCTTTTCAAAAGGAGGCAGAAAGATAAATTTTACACAAATCTACACACCTAAAAATTTTGTTTATGAGAAACCAAAAGGAGAAGCAATGATCAGTGAAGCCCAGTATAGTTTAATCAGAACAAATGATGCAAGCTTAACTTTAGCTCCTTCTTTGACAGAATTCTTACAATGGCAGGTCAAGAAAATAATTTAGACAAAGTGTATGTGGAATTCAACATGTCATTTAACAAGGTCTCTTAATATATGCTTATAGTCAAATGGAGACGTAGGTTGGATTCAAGATTGTTAGTATAGAGTAATAATTAGTTGAGTAACCATACTCAAAGGTGGTTGATTAATGGATAAATGTCAATCGGCCAGGAAGATTCTAAATGTTAAGTCACAAGGTTCCATCCTCCAACTAATTCTATTAAATATTTTAAACCACAATCTGGATCAAACTTGTTAATGGTAAGCAGCTTAGAAAAATAGCCCAAACATTATGTGACAGAAAAATAATTTTGGAAGATCTTCACAGACTAAAATACTGAAATATAACCAAGGAAAAGTTCACCCAGGATAAATGTTAGGACTCACATATGATGTCAGTCTCTAACTTTTCCAGTGTTTCTTAGCAAGAGGTGTTGATGTCTTTAACCTGCAAGATCAGCCCTACAATATTTTTGAGACAATCTTAAACAACATGAAGGGGACACTGTCACACACATCGTATTTCTGAGTGCAATATACTATAATGGTTAAGATAACAGACACTAGAGCTGGTCAGTATGCCTGGGTTTGAATTGTGGCTCTACCATTTAGCCAGCTATATGACTCTCTATGGCTTGATTTCCTCATCCATAAAATGGGATAATAATAGTATCTACTTCATAGGGCTGTGGTAAGAATTAAATAATTTGTAAAATGCTTGCTTTTATTTTTATTATTTTTATTGGCTTTCTGTTCAGCTCCCCAGTGGGAGTGGAACCTTTTCTTGAGCCCTAACCTATTTGACTTATTGTTCTTAGCCGCCATTGAGTTGATTCCAACTCATGGTGACCCCATGTGTGCAGACTAGAACTACTCCATAGGATTTTCAAGACTGTGACCTTTCAGAAGTAGATTGCCAGGTCTTATTTCTGAGGCACCTCTGGGTGGATTCAAACCGCCAACCTTTCTGCTAGTAGTAGAATGTTTAATTGTTTGCACCACCAGGGGCCTCTTACTTGACTAATGACCTAAAAACATGTTTCCATCTCACCAGCCCATCCCCCTACAGGAATTCTAAAACTTTACATGCCAATTTCCTGACTGATACTCCTGTATTTCATGCAGATGGAAATTTACTATGCATTTAATACTTCAACCATTTCAGTTGCATCATTATTGGGTGAAGCCAGGTAACATAAAAAGCCAGGGCAAGGAGAACTTTCCTGATGAAAACTCCTTTTACCTAGTGTATGGAATTTGGGCACCCATGCATTCAAATATGGAGTGACAAGCTTAGAGAAAAAGAGAAGGAGGGGGAGAGGAAGGGGGAAAGGGAGTGAGAAACATCTGGATGAGTGTGAATAACATTTAAATGTTTATTTGTTGAACTCAAGAAAGGCCTGTGTCCACGTACCATGATAGCTACATTGATTAAATCTCTTTTTTCAACTTTGAAATAATTCCTTCAAGTTTAAAACTTTTTAAGGACCAATGGATGAGAGAAAGGAAGGCAGATTTCATTTATGGACTGCCTTGGAAGAATAAATATGGGTTCCCTTTTCCAGAGGTTTTCAGGCATAAGTTAAAAGACAAAATTTATCAGGGACAAAATAAAGGATTCAGGTTTGTTGGACCAAACCATTGCCAGAGAGTCAACTTGGACTCATAGTAGCCCTAAAGAACAGAGTAGAACTGGCCCCATAAGGTTTCCAAGGCTGTAAATCTTTACAGAAGTGCTTCACTGTAACTGTTGTGCCACCAAGGCTTCGTGCTGGTTGGGCCAGATAACCTTAAGGTCTATTCCAACCGTGGAATTTTAAATAATAGGAATCCATTTTGTAAAGAACTTTGATTGAAGAATTTGGATTTTATTATAATTAGCAGTTTAATATGAGCGGAATATCGCATTGGTGTTAATTAAACAAGAGTGTAACCTGATAAAAATTAAGGAAAATTGTTATTATAGCAGTTGAAGGCAGACTGAATTAAAAACAGAGAATGGAAAAATGGCCAAAAAACTAATAGAACAGTATAAGTGCAAAATAGTATAAGTGTCAGCACAAGCTAGATTAGATATGAATAGAAACCATTAACAGTACTCTATAAAGAAAAGTATATTTTAAAATCACCTTGAGATCCAGGGAACAGGAAGAATTGAAATAATGCCAAAATCTTAGTACTATTCTGAGGATTAAATGACATCATAAAAGTTAAGGAAAAACTTGAGTGCATAGAAGGCACTCAAAAGCTTAGGCACTCTCCTGCCTGTTGAGTTGAATTTTGACACCTATGTGTTAATTATTAGCCAACTCTATGCCTCTAGGTATCCTACAGGGTTCTAAAGATAACAAGACTGAAGAAAAGTAACTACTATTTTAAATTTCTGTTCTTTCTAAATGTATAACTTTAGGTTAAGTAACATAATGAAAACACAAGGATTTCCAATGAAGAATTATTACCAAAAGTAGAGCAATATAGTGTAGAGCAGGGTTCATGGAAATAATTAGCTAGGCTGCTAACTGTCCATCTTAATTTAACAGTTACTAGAGAAATAGCATAAATCCAAGCAAATATGTAAATGTTCAAAATGACAACTTGAAGAATGTATTACGTTCTCAGCAAGATAAGAAAAATTTAAACATCCCTCAGAAAAAAAAAAAAAGCACTTACATTCTGCCAACATTCCTACTGCTTTACACTTTTTCAGTCTGCACTCTTGACATTTTCTGCGCATGTACATGTCCATCTCACAGTGACCACCATTCTTGCAACTGTATACTGCATTTTTGGTGATGCTACGTCGAAAAAAACCTAATAAAACGTTTTTTTTTTTTAATTTTATCATTAGGTATTTTTGGTTATATGTCATTTTATTAGCATACGCCTTCATAGTGGAGTTATGTAATCAAGCTAATGAAATTATTTCAGTAAAATGTTTTTTCCCTCAATAAGGAGATTTGCTTTAATATACATTTATCTGGATTGTTTTTTTTAATCCTTTCTTGGTTGATACATTCTATTTCAAGGTTGTTCTTTTCAATAATCACATCTGGAAATTAACGTAAATAGCTCCATCACATTAAGACTCTCTTTTACTTTGGTTATAAAACATCAACTAAAAGCATTTTTAAAACTATGTTCTACAGAACATCTAGGTTCTATGAAGCATCTCTCCCTTGAAAGAATATGTGATCATGCAAAGTAAGCCTACAATAAAAACTTCCTCTTTCTCCTCACGTTTCCACCTTAACCCATAGAGGATGGATGGAACATTCTTCTAAATTTATCCCTCTATTTCCCTTTCTCAGCACTTCCCCAGAGGTGCTAATTTATCTGGTCTGAGACATTGAACGAGCAACGGTGTGTGTGTGTGTAAGGGATTCTACACTTTCTTTTCACTTCCTAAATCCATGCATGGGGTCCCTCTTCCCATTTTCTCCTTTCCTTCTTGTTCCTGTGCCATAATCCCTGCCATCTTCCTCCTCTTTCATTCCAGGGAGTAAAGTTGATAAGCTTAGTCAATGCCCCTCTTAGAATCCTACCATATCCTCTTTTTCTGTTGACACACTTGAGAGTGGGAGTTTCATGAGTTAGACTCAACAAAGGGAATAAAAAGCTCAGCTTAGGTTTCCAGAACTATGCCTCAGTTGTCAGTTTTGTTTTAGCAGAAAGGCCCTGCATTTCAAGAGGAAGCAAACACTTGCCCACTTATTCTACTCATAAAACTGGTACTTCATTTCCCAGAACCTTCGTTGGGCTATTATTCTTTGTGAAGAGTGAGTTGTGGCATTCTGAGAGCAAAACTTCACCCTATACCTTTAACAGACAAGTTTACCTAACATTGTCGTGCGCTAATGATTTTCAGGTCCTGTCCCAACACTGCATTTGTGAATAAGACAATGCAGAAGTGGTTCAGAACCTCAAAACTTCAGCAAACATTGTTTCACTCTTTGAAAATGCCACTGTCAATGATGGTCTACACATTCAGACCTCCAATTGTTTTTTTAAAAAACATTTCAAAATAAATAGACTTGGACTGAATCTTTGAAGTCATTTAATTTAAATTCCCTCCTAATGCATGAATTATATAAATCATATGAAAAGAAAATAGTCAAAATTCAGATCATTTTTTAAAAATCATTTTCTATTCCAACATCAGATTCACCTAAGAGCGTGGCAAACTTCTACCATATAAATATTGAATTTTGTATTTAAATGTTAAGTTGAATTATATTTAAATGTTAAGTTAAAGGAAACTGAATATCAACTTTATTACATTATATTTTCATGTCTTTGATCCCTCAAACTGACCACCCTTAAATATATGGCTGGCTGTCTTTGGCTTTACTTGTCACTCTTTAAAAAGTAAGAGCATTCTCACATGCCTAAAATGTTGTGACTCTTCAGTGAACACTGATACGTATTACAATTTCATTTTAACTTTATTCTTACCTTTGCAACCCTCACAAGTAAGTGCATTATAATGATATCCTGATGCTTTATCACCGCAAACTACACAGAGTTCTTCCTGTCCCTTAATTCGCATGGAAGAATAAATCTGCCTGAATCTTTTTATTCCAGGGTATCCATCTTCAACGTGGTGGGCAACCACATAAGTGGGCTTATTTAATTCACAGGAACCAAGTCCACACTGTCCACCACTGTACTGTGGATCCACACTATAAGTGTTAAAATGACCTTGTAAAAATTGGGACTGTAAAGCTGGAGGAAACTGGGCAGCAGAATACCGGCAATAAGGTGATTCTTGAACATCAGAGTCGTGCAGCTGATAATTGATTTGTTCTGGCAAAATATCTAGTTTTTTAAACATAAAAAAGAACAAATGGTAAAAATTCAAAACTTTATAATCGTTTTCAAATTTCAAAATGTTTTATGCTCAACACACAGAGTCAGTTCAACATGTCTGCTACATCCTAGGGTCTTGCTGTCCAGAGTGATGGGCAGACAATGAACTGAATTGCAGTGCATCGTAAGTGTACCATCCCAGAGGTTTGCAGAGGTTGCTTGGGAGCTGGGAGAAGGGGCAATAGTTATTAATGGTTTACATACCAATCCAGTCTCCCACCTTAAGTAGGAATGAATATCTCCCAGAGGTTGGAGTGAAGACAATTTCCCCCATCTTCTACATTTCCTTTGTTGTGGGCACACTGTTTTCAGTGTACTCAAGTCAGAAAAACAGATGAATTAATAAATTATCCCATCCCCCAAAAAAGAAAAATCAAACTAAAACACATTTTTAACTCAGTTATCTGGTTATTTAAAGAAAGAAATTGTTTTTGTTTGAACTCCCCACTTAATATACCTTAACACCCTCCTTTGCCATTTGTAGACTTGATTTAAATTTACCAGTTTCTTTTCTATTTTGTTGTTGAGTGATTCTAACTAGCAATTATCTGGGGATAAATTCACCTACCTCACAGGGTTATCATAAGGATGAAATGAAATAAGATATGTAAAAGCACATACAAACTATAAAATGAAATATAACTCATAGCATTATTTTTGTAATCAGCTCCCAAACACCAACTTATTTACTGCTTTCAAGAGAATTACTGAATCTAAATCAGGAAAATTAACCCTAAAGGACCCAGGAATACTTAGTTTCTCTGTGTCTGTAACTAGCAATATTTGTACTTTTCCTGGTGCTGAGTTACCAGATGGTTAGACTGACTGTTGCCCTCAAAATTCTACCACCAAGGTTAGTAAACCACATACTTCTTATTAATAATTCACATAAATCATTTGCAATCTTATAACATCCAGTGCAATGCTGAGTGTTGAATAAATACCAGATAACAGCCTGATATCAGGAGAAAGGTTATCAGTAAACACAATGTAACTAATTCTTTTTTTAAAAGAAAAGAGCCTCTCTTGGATGAGAGTTAAAAGCCTCTTTTTCACCCCTCTAGAGTACTGGCTGGTGTTCCATTGGCATGGAAACCAAACTTTAAAAGAAAACTAACATTAGAGGTTAAATTTATATTATAGTCTTAGTCTTGTCATGGTTTTTTGCATTGTTTTCTACTTCTTTCCCTTTTATAGGAATCTTACATGTAGATTAAAATATTCAAGTATATTTCATAACTTCAGTGAACTACATTTACTAAATTGCATCAGAATTATCTTCTGCTAGCTCCTAAAAATAACTTCTGATTTGCTTAAAAATTTAATGCAATTTTAAGCCCATTGTGCTTTTCCTTCTTTACAATTGATCCTGGCTTACGACATTTAAATATTGCTCAGTTTTTTTTAATTAATTATATTCTCCGGTAAGGAATAATTTTGAGCCTTCGGTTGATCTGTTTCTTTCTTTTATAAAAATCTCTGTAGCTAACCCTAAATCCTCCTGCAAAACAAAGAAGTTTTATTGGCTATTCACGGTAGTTTTTTGCTACATACCATAGTACTGCACTGATTCAGCAAGACAGTACTCATCAGTGGCAGTGAGACAAGTATCTGCCATTCTCTGACCCAATTTTCACTGCTTCATTCACTCCAGTGAATGCTGGACTCTTCACAATAAGACCTGAAGGAAACAAAAGATTTGTAGATTCTTTGAAAGTCTGATTATCAAATCAATACAACTTTATAAAAGTGTAATATTGCTTTTCGAAAATAAATAATTAGCAGAATTTATACATGAGACATTTATACTCACACTTTAATTGGAAAAATATTCATTGTTAGTATCTGTAAACACCAAATTATTTAATTCTGCCAATTTCTTTATTGCTCAGCTCTTTACAAATAACTTAATAAATATTGGTAATAACCGTATGACCCTTAAAAGTGTACCTTGCTTTGCAGTTGGGTTTCATAATACACTGTTTTCACCACTTACTTATCAATCATTTGTTAAACCTCGCTATGCCTTACTTTCCTAACTTGTAGAAGAGAAATAGTAAAACTCTCCTATCAAAGTTGTTGAAAGAGTTCAGCTAAATAATATATGTAAAACATAGTACAGTTCTTGACTTAATAGATGATTCCCATAATTGTTATTCTAATATT